GAATGCTGGACCCTCTGCACCTGCCTGGCAAGCTTTTTTATTTTTTAAACTTTCAACTAATAACAGCAGAGTGACCAAGACACCAAACTTAAGATTTTAAAGGGAACACGGAAGCAAAATCTCATAATTAAGATTACTCTGGATGGCAGTTTCTTGAGCTGAGCACAAGGAGGAAATGGCTTGCATTTAACTCCATCCACCTCTGCGTTAGAATCAGAGTGTGGTCAGATGTCTACTCAGTGAGAAGGCAGGGAAACTGAGGCCAGCTGTGGAAATGGTCAATTCCCAGCTACTCAGACTCACTCCAAACATATGCCCGCTGAAGGGCATGGCAGTCAGTGCCACTGAATCACTGCTCTCTCTCTTTCTCTCCCCACATCACCAAACACAAAGAGAGTAATCCAGATGAGTGGGAGGAAAAAAATGCATGTTTTAACTCCATATTTCCCATGAACTGTTTGAAATCTTTCCCACCATCTCCAAGGTCCCAATTTGCCTCTCACTCTCCTCATCTCAGGAGATGACCTAAGACTGTGTGACCTTAGGCAAGCTGCGTACCCTCTCTGAAGCTCTGTTCTACATTCCATTAGATGTCCTCATTTAATGTTCATGAGATCAAAAGAAGAGAATGGCAGCAAAGCACTTTGTAAACGAAAAGTGCCTGATAAATAAAAGATTATTGTTAAGTCCCAGCAGGGTGGGGACCAGAATTTCCTGGCACACCACTGTAGCAGCAGGAGCTAGCAATGGAGCTGGGCACTACCAGATACAGGTACTCAGTAAGGGTTTGCAGCATGAAAAGAAGGCAGGCAGGCAGGCAGGAGGAAAATCACCGGAATGGAAACCAAACAGACACATGAACAGGAATTTATCACTGAAATATTAATATGTCCAAAACAAGTGCCTAACCAAACAAATCNATCAGGTCAGCAATTCGGACGAGGAAGCACATCCTGTGACCATGTACACACCTTACTTCGAGGATTGGAGGTATTCATGACACTCCGGAGTTCTCTGCCGGTGTAAAGCACAACACCCACAACAGTTCCTAACACGGGAAAAACATAAGCAAAGAAATAGTGTAAGCAGGCGGGCTTACAAACGGGGGAGCCTGGCCCGCCTGAGAGCATCTGTTCTACATGCAACACCCACGCTGCGGGACGATCCGAGCGTTTACATGGGGGCCAACCGATGACCTACGGCTACACTGACCCGTATGGTAGCCGCTAGCCACGTGTGGCTACTGAAACTTAAATTCAATTAAAATTAAATAAAATACAGTTCCCCATTTTCACTGGCCCCATTTCAAGTGTTCAAGAGTGACAGGGGGCTAGTTAGTGGCTGACATGCGGGACAACGAAGGTAGAGAGTATTCCCATTTGGCTAAAAGTTCGACTGGTCAGTGCTGGTCTATGAGGTCCGGCAGGAGAGGTAGGACAGCGGCAGTTTGTCCTGTATGGCACTGGCCGTAGGGGCTTCCAGAGGCGCCTAGAACATTCCTAGCCTCATAACCTGTTATGGACACTTACAAACACACCTGTCTTATTCCAGCACATACTTCCCGCCGAGTCCGACTCCTTTCAGGTTCTGTGTCTAACAAGGATGCTTGGGGGGTGTCTGTCCAGAAAACAACCCTTTCCTGACGGCGTCCCCACCCCCTTCCCACCCACCCCTGTGCAATGAGGAAAGACAGCAATCCTTCTAAAAGTAAACAATTTACAGAAGAAAGACAAATGGCCAGTTAACATGAGAAAAGATGCTGAACCTAGTGAATCCTCAAAATATGAAAATAAACCATTTTTATCTCTATCACAGTAACGAGAATTCCAAAGACTGGTATCACCAAGTGTTCACCAAAAGGGAGGGAAACAGACCCTGTCACACATGCTGTCGGCTGCAGTGAACACTGGAGCCACCTCTTTGGGGAGGTGGAGGGGGAGGGAATTGGCAACATCTACCAAAAAACGTACCTTTGTCTCCTGTCTTCAGCGTGTGCCAAGAAAATGACTCAGCACAGTGAGGAAGACAGGCAATCAAGAAGGAAACAAGAAACACAGTAACCGGGAGAGTGCGGGGTGCTAGGATGAAAACAAGCCAGGGGAAAGGCAGAAGAGAAGGCGGGGAGGACGGAGATGGGGGAGGAGGGAGGAGGGGGAGGAGG